TTTTTTTTTTTTTTTTATATATGTTAGCTGTATTTAATAGAGATGATAAACTGGGATCATATCACCTATAGTGCTGTTCACTGCCAGTCCTGTACTCTCAAAAATGACTAGTGATTTTGGTTGTCTTCGCTTTTTGGTACAAGCTTGTCCTTATCTGATTTGTTTAATCTCTTCTGTACAGGGCTCTGGCAAGCAGCCTGGGGAAATCCATCCCCTTGATGTATGACATAATATCAGCACCTACATAAAATACACCATATATATTGTATTTGCAGGTCATACATAACTATGAAATTGCCAATTAATTATTAATTAATAACCAATTAATTATGAATTGCATGATCTCAGCTGAGGAAACCTCTTCTTTCAGCTGCACTTCGCATGCATCGTGCTCCGGATCAGGTCCTGCAGTCTAGGTGGCCCCCACTACTGCATTAAGAATTAAATTAAGCACGAATTGTTCCCTGCAGTCTCATTTGGACTATCAAGTGCACTGTAATCTGCATGCACTTCGCTCTCCTGCATTGCAGGAGAGATAATAACAGCCACTCCTTCACAAACACAGTATTTGAGACTTTAATAGCTTGTTACCCAGTGCTTGCAGCTACTCCTCCAGGCCTTCCTTACTATGCTGAGCAATGTGTTTGCTGTCTGCCAGCAGCCACCCAAAACCTGCAGATGTTCTTTAGTGCTGTGGGGGACCACAGCAAAGAGGACTCAGCCTTACCTTTCAGCTGCTGTCCACGTGACCCCTACAAAGGGACCTCCTGGCATTATCGCTAGAGCTGTGCTTTTCTTGGCTTTCCTTGCATGTTGCAGGGACAGCAACACACAAGGCTCAGTGAATATCAGGTTATTGCCCTGAAAAGTGCATCCCAGAGAACTAAATCTATAGTGTTCCCCTGTAGTGTATGTAGCACCTTGCGACATTCCTCACAAATGACAGCTTCCAGCAGCTCTCAGGGAAGCCTAAAATAGAGCTGGCCAAAGGCTGCCATGCTGCTGCCTCAGGGCCCGGTGTTTAGACTCAGCTGCCTATACTCTGTAGCACTACTGAGCTTTCTGCATTTTGTGTCCATTCCTCCTCATGGGTGAATTCAGTCCCCAGCTGCTCACAAAGCAAATGTTGCAGAGATGGCAGGAGGAGCTTGAAAAGTGTGTTTTATGAGTGCTTGGTTTCTGATACTTTGACTGACTGAGGAGGGCAGCTTGAGAGGCATGGCACTGGCTGAAGCAGATTTGGTTTTAAGTTAAAGCAAACGTTTGTCCAAGTGGGCATCCAGCTATGCCCTGTGCTTGGGAGTTCAGACTGGCATCCTGGAAGCCTGGGAATAAATGAGCTTTGTGGCACTGACACCTAGTGGATTTAAAACCCAAGCACTCTCAGGAACAATTGTGTTTTCTTCACACAACATCCTGAAACTCCTGTGACTGAGCTAGCCTGGTGGTTGTGGATAATCATTACCCTCCTGCAAGGAGGTTTGCTCCCATTCCTGTGAGGTGGTGTTGAATTCTTTTTTTGTTGTTGTTGGGTGGTTGTTGGTCACCTCTGCTGCTTTTATCTGGTTTTAAGTTGTGGTGCTTTGTTCTTCTGTTTCTTCGTCTAGAATGCTGCTTCTGTGTAGCTCAGAGTTGGATTTAAGGATAAAAATGTCTGAATATTTCTTCTAAGACTTTTTACTAGTCCTGGAAATGTCTTCTGCTCCTGTATCACTTATGGTTCACTGGAAACCACGGTCCATTATACCAGCAACTCTCTGCATACTATTCTTAGCCAGCCTGAGGTGGAGAGGATGCTAATTACCATACCCAGATCTCTGTTTCTTGGCCTCAGTAATGTGATGAGCTTATATAAGAGGATTTTGCACTTTTTCTGTTTTCTCTGTAATATTTTCTCTCCTTTCCCAAATTGGAACAAACCTTTTAGTAGCACTTACTTGTGTATGTGAAACTTGCCATTTGCCTTTCACAAATACTGATCATGCGACCGTGTAGTCCTACTGGTGGAAAACAGTCCTCATTACCTAACTAAGGACTGGGTTAGTTTTCTGTTCACCAGTGCCAGCCCATTTCTACTCTGTAAGGATGTGTGCGCTGCCTCACTTGCATTATTACAGCTTGAAGGGATCATAAAAGCTGATGTATTTAGAGATCAAATGGTAATGGGCTAAACTGTGACTTGGCCTGTGTGTGAACCAAAGGGAGAGAGGGAAAGTAGGAAGTCCTCTGGTGAAGAGTTGCAGGTCACATCCATGGCCACTGCTAGGCAGGAGAGAGGAGGAGGCATTCTGACCAGCACAGCTGAGGATGGGATAGGCTGGAGACCAATGTGCTGGCTTCAGCCAGCAGCATTTACCTGAGCACAGCTTTTCCCTGAGATAGGGAAGAAGCAGAGGAGACAATATAACTGCAGTCCCACTACCTCCCAGGGTTGTGCTGAAAGTGGCATTGCTTGTTCACTGCCCCTACCGTTGCTATCCTAAAGTTAAAATCCTAAATAGGGATAAAAAGAGGCCAAATAGTTGTTATGAAGCCTTTTCTTTAAATTATTTTACAGCTTGATCCAGGTAAAGCCTTACCCTCTCCTAATGACCTCAGAAGAAAGATTCTCATAAAGAATAAAAGACTGAAACCTGAAGTAGAAAAAAGTAAGTAATGCTTGTCAAGTATCAAATTAACCAGAAGTCCAGATAGATACGAATAGACTTTGTTACTAAAGTTTCCAAATTGCTTGCACTTTAGTGTTGGAAGAATATGAATTATAAGTAAATGACACTGTGTTTACCCTTGTGTTTCATATGAGTGCCAGAGTTTAGGCCTTGATATCAGCATGTAGCATAGGCATAGATAGACCTAGAAATGTAATCCTGCGACTTTTATCAGATTGCTGGTTGAGCTAAAATGAAACGCAGATAGAATCTCTTGTAAATTCTGCCTGCACTGGTATGTTTGTATTGCTGTTCTTCTCCAGGATAAGCATAAAATGAAATGGAATTTTAAATTGCTGCTCTTGCTGTTGTTGCCAGTTCTGATACTTATCTTCTTTCAGTAATAATAATGTTGCTATATTAGTTTCCAGTATGGCTATAGTGGTAAACCCTGGTCCTTCTCCATTCAATGAGAACTTCCACTGACTTCAGTCATACATGATTGTGGCCATACTGTCCAACTGAAATGCACATGGGAACGCATAATCCAAGCACTTTACCTCCATGTGCATAGATCAAGCACCAAAGAGATAGCTGTCTGTTTACTCTTTGAATTCTATGGAATTATTTTTCTTAACTCTGGTGAGATTTTGGATACAGCCCACTTTTCAAATCTAACAGTATATGTCTAATGATGCTCTTACTCTGTAAAATTTTATTGCTAACTGAAAACTTAATCTTAGAGAACCCCTTTAAATAAAATCTCCAGGGATCAGAGAATAATTTATGATTGTTTGTACATATTTCTTTGTGCTACAAACTGTTCATGCCATAACTAATTTATTTTTATTTTTCTTATTAACAGAACAGCTTGATGCTCTGAAAAAGATGATGGAGGCTGGGGAAACTGCTGCTCCTGTAAATATCCTAGAGGATGATAATGAAGAAGAAATAGAAAGTGGTGAGGATTTCATAGAGAAGGGCCCTCAAACATTGCCTGTGGTAAATCAGTAGGCTGGCATGAGCATTTAGTATGTGTGTTACCCCCATACCCACAGTCTGTAGCAGCAGCAGTAAGTCTGGGGTCAGTGCAGGACTGCTTGTACAGACTTCCAGCTTTACCGTCTCGTCTCAGATACATACCACAGCTGCTCCTGGCTCAGTGGCAGGCTGTAGTAGGAACGTGAGCTCCCTTGGTGATACTAGTGGTAGTTTTTAGCTCCCATGTACTGTTCAGAAGTCATATTGGAGCAGCAACCAAGTCAGATTTTCACTGTGTGTATGTGTGAGAGACTGGCAAGCTGTGATCATTCCTTTGAAAACAGATTTTGTCACTATTTTTAATATTTGTGCCAACATCAGATTGGATTATTGCATTATACTTTATAACGATAAAATTGGGGATAGGATTTTTCTTGCCAGACTTCAGATAACTTCACTGTAAACCTCTAGATCTGAGCCAGCTATGTGGAATGTGTTTATGGCCCACAGAGGAAAATAGACATATCTAGGGTGTGATTCACCTTGTCTTACTTTAAATGTCCACCTTCAGAAGAGTTAAATTAAGCATTGCCTGCACATGTCTGTACCAAGGTACTGGCCTGTCACCCCTGCCATACCAAACGTCCCAGCTTTAGCCTACCCCGTGGGTCGTGGGTTGTCTCCTTGATTTTTATTTTTTTTTCTTTTAGTAGCAGTCAGTAGAGGTCCTTGTGAAAGATATTCTTTGTGAACCAAATCTTGGTATCTGTCCTTGCAATGCTAAAAAAGACTGAAGTACAACAATTTTTTTGGAGAGGTCTCTCAGTATCTTTCTTCAGGTGATCAAATAGTACAGAGGAGAAATTCTGTTGTTTTGCAGGCTGATTTCCATTGGAATGCGTATTTCTAATAGTGTTCTTCTTGTGCCGTGTTATTAATTATGTGCTAGACCATCAAGAGGCTCAAATAAGTATTTTCTAAAGTTATTGTTTAAATCCATATGAGTAATGTGATTAATAGTTCTGTGTTTGTAAGAGGCCTCTTCAGCTTTTTTGAATACACCAGGGTCTAACAGAAAATTGCTTTAAAAGCAAAGGAAAATGATTCCCTATAGTAGGGGCACATAAGGACACTCTAACAATGCACAAGAAGCTTGGACACGAGCAACTTTTTACATCTTTATTTGAAGAATTTGGTCTTCATTTCTTGTTATTTCCCCAAACCTATCGGGTTCTTTTTACATTTTCACTAAGGAAATTACTGATTCCTTCAAAAATACAGTAAATAAAATTTCTTCTACTAACCATGTCAAAGCTGTAAGAATCTCAGGCCTTAGCTGTAATTTATTACTAATGCTTGGAAATCTAATACCCTGGGTTTTATTTCTGTTTTAAAAAATTCCAAAACCAAACTTGTGTATTCAACTGTCATTTGTTTCATGTCTTACACAAAACCAGCAGTTGCTATGTTTTTTGCACTGATCCTTTTTGTTTTCTCTGCAGCTGACCAGGAAGAAGAAGCTCATCCTGAATACAAATTTGGAAGTGACCTTACTGTAGATGATTACAGTCAAAAAGAAGCTGTTGCCATCAGTGTCAAAAAGGTGGGATTACTTCTTATATATTTTTCTTTGCAAGCTTTCCATGGAGGTGGGTGTAAAAGACGCTCTTGTGGAAGCATCACAGCACATGTTGTCAGAAGAGTTGAACCTGAGATCTTCACCAGATTCCTAACCTTTAGGTTCATGAGAAGACAACATTTTGTAGCTGAAAATATTCTGCTTTTTCAGGTGCAATAGTCATTGAGGAAACAGAATCCATGTATAGAGGAACAGTATACAAGCGGAGAATTTGATTAAAAATGCTAATTAAAGGCAGCAAGCAGTTTCCTGCTCTTGCATCTGATATCTTACTTTGCATCTCAGTTGCAGAGCCTTAATATGAGATGGAATATCAGCTCTTACTCAACAGTGGTATTTTGCAAGGATGCATCCTGTGTCTTTGTTCCAGGGATTCCCTGGGTCATTTCTTATTGTTAATTCTTAGGGTAGATTCTCCTTTCCACCTACAGCAATGAAGGCAAAATAGGATGATCATTCCCCAGTGGGGTGTTATGACAGTGGGGCTATACCAGAGACCTAGCAGGCAGACAGGTTAAAGAGTCCCCTTTTATTCCACTCATATATGATTTAGTACAGTTTATCAGTCTGTACTCAGTAACTTGAATATTACTTCATGGTAATTGGATACAGAATATTGGAATTCAAAATTAAGCCTGCTCTGTCACTGACGGCGTTATTGCTGCTTGCTACCGAAAAAAAAACCACATGCAAGTGCTAAGGTACCTTATCAGATCATGTTCCTCTCTGTCACTGAAGTATTTTGGCCACTACTTCTCTTCTGCCTGGCTACCTTTGGATCTTACTCCAGCTAGATGTATAAGAATGGAAAATCTTTCATAGCACAGATTGCCCATGGCAGCGCGTCTCTAGCAGTATCACTGAGACATCAGACCTGCCTTTTTGGTATCTCTTCAAGTCAACATCTTTGCTTCTTCAGGACTTTCATGAATCCTCCCCCTGAAGTATTGTTTAACTTTGCTCTAGGGCTGATTTCACTTATGAAGTTAGATGGTGCTTAACTACCTGAGTGTTTTGGGGGTTGTTGGGGTTTTTTTCAGATTAGTCACTCCTCAGCACATGCCTTTAGGTAACTTCGCTGTTTCTTTGCTTTTCAGTGACTTGATCCTTATTCTTTAGGAACGTACATTCAGTGCCAAGTCAACATTTATCTGTCTTAAGATTCTTGGTAGCGGCAGCTTGTAATTGAAGACAGACAGCAGACTGTCCCATTGCAGAAAACATCTTGAGATATGTCTTTTCCAAATGTGGACATTTAAAGCACAGTTTACAGCAGTCTTATGCCTTAAGTTTGCAGAGCCTGGGTAGTTTGCATAGCCAGATTAGGTGATCTTTCTTGTTTGCTGGGTGTGTCATTCTTTCGTTCTTCTCTGAAACTTCCTGTCCCTGGCATCTAGTGATAGTGCTGGTTTGGCCTTAACTGTCTGGCATCCTACCTCCTATTCCCATTGCTAGCCAGCTGTTTAAATTTCACATCTTTTGTATACAGATGTGGAAGAAACTGCAAATTTTTGCAAATGTATGGGACAGATGAGCCATACAGGAAGGTGGAAGAGGGTATACTTTTTGCTAAATGCATTAACTTTTTGAGGATTTTTTTTCCTTACTATGAGTATTTCATATTGCTTTTTCTTTGGGTAATGTATATATATTTTTTTCCCTTAGGCTGTTGAAGATTCTGAGCAAGAAAACAATAAAAAGGTGACACATAGGATGTTATGTAGTTTGTTTTATTGCTTTATAAATAACATACATATTACTTACCATGTGCTTTTAGTGGTTTAACAATTTTATGCACAGTTTTACTGCACCTACAGGGTATTTTTGAAAGTGACTCTATCTTCTTTTCTTCTCTAGAGTTTCTTCTGCTGTACTTTTTATACTGGGCTTAGGGCTATCAGAAAATTTGGGGACAGACGGGAGTGCATGACTTTTGCCTGCTTAGAAGTGTCTGATCTCAATCTCAAATCTCATGCGCTGAGAAACAGCAGTTCTTTGAATGGTGTTGAGATGTGTCATCCCTGCTTCTTTATTTTTTCCTCTTCCCTTACCCTGACTGCACTTTGTTTTCCTCTCTCTTTTTCCTCCTTTTGCTTTCCCTTGGGACTTCTCCATTTATCTTCTCACAGGAATCCCTTCTGTAAGACTCTTCCCACCTCCTTCCACTCTTCTCCTTCCTTCTCTTCTCTCATTAAAGCTGCACTTGTTCCTAACCACACTTTGTTTCAGTCTGTGTTGTTTTCTGCGTGGGTTCTACTTCTTTTCTTGAGGGGTAGGGAGGTGTAAATAACCTAGAGAGATCAACTTTCCCCAATTGTTTTCTCTAGCCCCTAAAAGGGTCATGTTCTGTTGTCACCATTCCTTTGTTTCCATAGACTTTAAGAAACATTCCATCCTTACTCCTTTCTCTTTCATGGTTTTAAAATTGTGAACACTGCAAAGACTATAGCCCATTTACTCTAAAAATTATGGGTCTGCAAGTAAATAAGATAAAAACAATGACCCATAGATTGTCTTAGAACATTGTCTTAGAGCTAGTGTGTCAGTAATGAAGTCATACTGCTGTAGTCTGCAGGGTACTGTTGCCTTGGCACTAAGGCTTGCATAATCCTGCTTTGACTTCCTTTTCACTGTGATTTATAACTTAGACTTTTATGGATCAAAATAGTAAAATATGATTAGCAATTCTGAGCAGTCAGCAAGAGGCACATTGAAGGAGCCTGGTTTTCAGAAGATGGGTGGTCAGTTCTTCCTGAATTACTGGCCTTCCAAAAATGAAGACACTGAAAAGGACTAGTTTCTTTGAAGAAATTTGGCCTTAATTTGTTCTAAACTCTATGAACAAGTATTGACCTAGTAACAAAAAGATGCCTGTATTCTACTGATAAAGGGATGTACCATATGATATACTTGGGTAATAGATCTATGAACCCTCAATATGTGTATTCCTGAAAAGCAGTTGGGTTGAGCCCTGGTGATCAGCATTAAAATACGATACAGTTTGATTTCATGGGCCACTGGAAGTTTAATTCAGTCTAAAATGCACATAAAACCACGTGCACCTGGACTAATTGTGATAACTCAGCTATTCTGTGCAGTGAGAAAAGGACGTTCCTTGTGACTATGATTGTCGTGTCCTATCAAGGCATTAATTGTTTCACTTCACAAGGAATTCATTTTTTGAACTGTGTCTGCACTATATGTCAGGTAGAGGTACGTGCCTGTAATACAGGCAAGTAGTTTCGCACTTCCTTTCCTCTCCCATCTCCTGACTAAATGAGTTGCAGGAGTGTAGGTACTGTGAACTGCATTCTTCTTCCATGCTTTAATGCTGCTACACGTGCTGAGACTTACTGCCCAAAAAAGGGCTTTGCAGTGCTTGCTGTTATTCACTATTTCCTGATGTAGCAATGGAGGAGAACTTTCTGGCAAACATGGGTTGTATTCAGAAAATAAAAAGCTGTACTGTAAGAATTTTTTAATATACTTAGGACTTCCTTGCGGAAGTTCACTGTCAGCCTACGGTAGGTTAGTTTTTTTGGTGACTGGTTCACAGGTAGGAGAAAAGCAAAACTGTGGGAAAATTGCCATGAACAGTAAGCCTTGCAGAGTTTGCTTAGATTGGCAGAGAACTTTCTTTTTCTTTTCTTTCTTTCAGTGGAAAGAGTATGTTTCAGACTGGTTTAGGGAAAGGAAAAAGTTGGACAGGTAGATCCACGTAAGAAGTGCTTCCTATTCTGTGTTTCTAGCAGATGAGATACTTGTAGAAAACTTTTGAAGTTCTGTTATAAATATAGTGCATCTTTATGTGATGATGGATTCAGATTTTTATCATTTTAAGTGGCTAGGAATATGAGCTTGACACTGTGTCTCTTGTGACAGCTGTTTGTCTAATGAATGTTGTAATCCCTATATTTTGGTCTGCTTTTATTAGAAAGATTAGCAGTTGAACCCATTTGATGTGTTTTGATGTTGAGAAAGTTGCACTCAGTACCAAGTACACATTACCCCACCACAGCTGCTATTAGAAAATTTATATTAAATCACAATTCTTAGGAATTTGCAAAGATAGATCGTTATCTCCCACCATTGTGCAGTCTGTTTTAGTATTTGTCTTTTATCCCAAAGTTTTCCTACTAACATCATGTAATATTTACCCACTGCTGACGAGCTTTTCTGTCATCAGTCCTCTTGCATGCATCCTGTAACATTGAGAGTGTTTGGTGCATATATCAGTAAGAAAATAAATCTTAATTTGTGACATTAAATTTCCACTTTTCTTGTATTAATTTGCACTTTCTTTAACTTTCTGCAGATTTGGGTATAATTTAGTATCACGTTTGAATATTCCGACAATAGTGTTTTCACACACAGTTAGTGATCATTCTTTTTAATCTGTTTTCAGGGTTTAGTAACTGTTGAAGATGAACAGGCGTGGATGGCATCTTACAAATATGTAGGTGCCACAACCAATATACATCCATATTTATCAACAATGGTCAACTATGCTCAACCTGTAAAATTTCAAGGTTTCGATGTAGCAGAAGGTAACATAAAAGGTTGAATGAAATAAAAGTATTTGTCTGCTTATTCTAGGTAGTTTTTTAATCTCTCTGTTTCCTGAGCTTAGGAATGGTGTAAGGCTTCTGTAGTTTAATGACCGTCATCAGTATATTTTTAGATCTCCGTCTGCTTGAATGTAAAGTTAGCATGTTATTCCATTGATCATCCACACGGAGTCACTAAATTACTGGGAGAATACGAAGCCATTGAGGTTGATTATATTCTATAGGCCTTTCCAACTCAAGTGCTTTTTTAGTGCAACTTTCTGTAAAGTAAGGTAAGCGTGATTGTCAGAGTGGTCAGCAGTTAGCTGATGCTTTCTTATTGCACACTAGACCATTTACCATGTTGTTTTATCTTATCTAGCAACACAGAAAAGGCTCTGAATAACAATTTTGTCCTAAATAAAAAAATGAAACTTTTGTTGATTTCACAGGAAGCGAAAGAATTTCTCTTCAGTATAATTTGATTCTATGAGTGACAGATAATGGGGAAACAGACCTGAATTTGCTGTATCCTGCTATTACGTATAGTGCGTGATTTTGAATTTTGATTTGTCATTACAGAAGTGTTTTAAAATGTCTTGTCTTTTCTTTCTAGAACGTAATATTCATCATAATATGTCCTCTTTCAATGAATCAGTTGGACTAGGGTATTTGAAGACCCATGCCATTGAGTTTGTGAAGTATCCTTTCACCTCCTCATACCACTTCTCTACTAATGCTATTATTAAACAACAAATGTACCTTTCTAGATTTACAGTGTTCCATGCTGTAAAGGAGAGGGGAAAGTAGCTCACAGGATGAGAAATAGTGAGATTAATGTAAAAAACATTGAAGAGACCAGGATATGACCGTACGTTGCTATGATGTTGTTATTTCATTTTCCTTGATGAATTATGCAGTTACAATAAACGACAAATGAGTCGGATATACCCAAAGGGAGGCCGAGTGGATTCCAGTAATTACATGCCTCAAATTTTCTGGAACGCTGGCTGCCAGATGGTCTCACTGAACTATCAGACCCCAGGTAGGCAGCAACAACCAGTGAACCTCAATCCTAAAGAATGGCTTGGGCAGTAAGTCGCAAACAGATGCCATGGATTTGCTTCTGGCATTTTTTGAGGAAACAGACATATGGCTAAATAATACAGTGGGGTGGAATTACGGAAGCGTAAGACAAGGAGCAATAAAAAGCCATACATAGAAGGAAAATTCAGTCCCCTTTCATGGAAAAATAATAGAGTACTGTAACTTCTCACATAAATGATAAAGGTTTATTAATAAAAAGTATTAATTACAGGGAAATCTCTGTTTTCGCAATACACAGCTTTGGCACAGTTGGGTGCATGTCTCCAAAATGAAGATGAAGGAGTGTACAAATTAAGATGGCAAAAAGTAATGACTGTGCCAAATGCATTTCTAGACTAGGTATTGTGAAGTGGTAGAATTGTGTTCAGCATCAGAGAATGGGTTCTGAGATCCCAGCTGACAGAACGATGCCGGGGAAAGTAAATGCCTCTCCACAGCGTGAACTGAGAGGAGATATATTGTTCCTGTTCAGTGAAGGTGTGACTATTACTTAACAGAGTAGGGGTTTAGTTGTTTTGTTGGGGAGGGGGTAGAGAGGGTTGTTGGTTCAGTGTTTTGTTTTTCAAATTAATCTAGGAATGCCTTCAATCGTATACATAACAGCAGTTTTTCCATTTTCTTTTTCTAGCTGTGATAGTGCTTTTTTTAAAAAAACCCTCTTTTTTCCCCCTGAATGGTGTCTTTGGTACTGCAGACAGACACTCCAAATCATCATACCCCAAGTTCTGTCCTGCAAAGCTTTGCAGTGATTTCACTAGCTAAGGAAGCGAGAGAAAGCTGTACTGGAATATACTGCTTGTAAAGCACTCCACTGGATACGATATGGAGGTTGGAGCAGATATGGAGGCTTCACTCTGCTCCCAACAGTGCTTCTGCACACCACGTGTTATTCTCACCCCTTTATATTGCCAAATTAGAGTGGTAGTTGTGTAATTGGAAGTGAGCAACTTTCCTCTGTTAGTCTTAGATGATCCAACTGTGCTGTCAGGCTGAAGAATAACTGAGGAAATACAAGTTAAGGATGCCCAGTGAAGCGAATAATAACTGATAGGAGCATATGAGAATCTTGTATTTTGTGTAATGGAGAACATACAGAAAAGATTTTGTTATCACTGGACAAGGATATTGTATTCTAGTGTGATTGGAAACCTGCAGGAAAACATTTTATTTTTCACAAGGTTTGGGAGAGGGTTGGAGGGGAGAAGGGTTATTATGTGCTCGCTATCTGTCTTTATAAACAATTGCCATAATAATGCATTGAATAAAACTCGGATGCTAAGCAATGCTATTATCATCTATGTGGTTTCTTTTTTGTGGTATTTTATTCAATTAAGCTGTGGAAAACCAGTGTGATATTTATCTCGCCTTCTTTAAGACATCAGGATACAGACAGCTTCATTGGATGTGGTTGTCTGTGGTCATTGTAGAGAAATACGCACTTCTAGGATGTCTCATCTAGTACATTTTATATATCTGCCTTAGACTGAGACTAAATGCACTGTTAAAAGTGTCTGTATCCCTCTGTTATTCAAAGTGATTCCAGATCACTAGCAGAAATGGAAAAATATATGCTGTAGATAGCAAAAGTTAGATGGTGGAGATCCCATCCCAGGCATTTAACATGACCACAGGCTGATGCTTCTCTGCCTACTGGATGTGTTTGAATTCAGTGAGAGACTTTTCTAAGCATAGCATAGACTTCGGCTTGGTTGATAAAGCTGTTACTACTGTGAAGAAATCTGAAGTTTTCCTGTTGCTTGCTTTTATTTCTTAGATGTGTGTGTTTTATATGCATTAAATTTAATTTTCATTTGAACTGATTATTCTTTTCTAAAAAGAGTTTTAGACAATGCAGTTGAATCAAGGAAAATTTGAATATAATGGATCATGCGGGTGAGTGATATGATTTAAACTGTTATCACTGTGTTTCAGAATACTGTGGTTTTAATAAAATTTTGTCACTATAAGTTATTGTTATAAAAGAAAAATGGAATGCTAGGTGAAGAGTAGAATTTAGCAGAATTCAGGGAGAATTACCCCTGCAAGGAGATATTCTGATGAATATGCTTTTTAATGATGTCCAGTTTGTAAAGATGAGATAGAACAGGCTTTGTGTGTAAATTATGAAGATCATGAATACTGTACACAGGTATTTAAATACATCTTCAGCTTCTGTTCTCAATCTTTCTTTGAAGATATGCCTCAGAATGGAAATTCATTGCACAGTTCACAGAACTGCCAAATTTACTTGGACAAGTTGAGTCTTAATACATGGGGAATATTTTTTTAATCTGTGTACTTTAGTTGAAGAGTACATTTCACAGAGAATACTAAAGTGTTTCATCTAAGTTCTTGCTGATGACTTTTGCATGAAAAAGGATGCTCAAGTGATGTTGATAGATTCTTCTCAAATGTTGAGTTTTATACCTTAATAGGATAGGCTGATCATTAACATCAAGAGAAATAAGAAGTTTGATGAATTATAGCAAAATGACAGTCCAGAAACACATTCAAATCTGCAAATTCATCCTGGGAAGAAACAGCTCTTTTACTAATGCAAGTCTTATTCAGAAAGAAAATCTGAGTAGATAAAGCTTGGTAAAATTCCTCATCTGTAGAATGGGCAACACAGTGCTTTGCCACTCCATGCCTTCATTTCAGTTCTGAACTCTCCAAATAGAGGCTGTAGCGTTTGAGGAAGGTGCAGTGTCTGGTCATTTCAGTGAGAATAACAAAAATAGAAGAGTTTTCATGCTGGTGAAATAAGACTGAGTCACTCTAGCTTCAGCATTTTTTTATTTCAGCAGGCCTAAAGCAGAGGCTAAGGATGTTTGTGATAGTTCCTTTCTGCCCATAACCTACTGCAAATTAGTAGAATATTATGAAATCACACACATTTATAATTTACGGAAAATGAGGAATACTGGTAGAAAAAGATATGTAGCTGAGAAATCACGCGGAGTAAGTGCAAACGCACATGGAGTTTACAAAGACCAAGGGGATCACTTTCCTAAACAGAAGCCACATTATGCAAAAAAATGGGAGAAATCATTGACATTTTTTCTGTTGGGATTTTTCCAGCATTTTTAAATTATTTCTGAATTCTGTCGAGGCCTTTCTAACACTGTGTACCAGTGATTCAATAGAGAGACTAAAGGTGGATAAAAAAATAATCTTCTAGCAGCTGTTGTCTGTCAGGGCTGCAGAATTAGTAAGATTACTCCAGTTACACGTTTCCTTCCAGCGGTGGAAGAGAAACCCTGTCATATGTAGCACAGCATTTCTGTGATCAACTGCTGTTTCATTTTGATGGCAGAATCCTTGGGTTTTGATTCATCAAAGCACATAATCGGCTTCGTTCATATGTTGGTCTAGTGTATAGTCCTCAGGGTTGTATTGTAAGTGTTATTATGGTAGTACCTTTCATGTTGTTATAATTAACAATCTGTCAGCACTGACATCAGCTGTTTCCGCCAAGGTTTTACAACTGAGATGAAAAAATTAGCTTCAAGCTGATATTTATTGCATGAGTCTTGACTTTGTGGAACTGCTTCATTTAAAAAACCAAAATTGAATAAGCCCTCTGTATTTTTCCAAACTGTTAAAGATTTAAAACAAATGAGAGCATCTACTTTTTATGATATGATAAGTCACTGTATTTTTAAAATGTATTGTTAATTTATTTTGAAAGGTCCTTGATTATATTACATTTATTTTCATCTTGAAATCCAGGGTTGATTTAATCTCTTAGTAGCTAGTAATTAAAAATGAAGTTTAACATTTATCTGTATCCTAGACAACTGTAATATTTCCTTTTACTTCCTCACGTTTGCAGCTAGAGTGATGTGTCTGTATTTTACAGTGCTCTAGGAGAGTTCATTGTTTAAAGCTAGAACATCCATTTTGTGTTTAATACAATTTTAATTTTCACACAAGAATAATTTTCTTCTTCTTTTTCTTGAAATAAGGTATCTACTTAAACCAGATTTCATGCGACGACCAGATCGAACGTTTGACCCTTTCTCTGAAACTCCTGTAGATGGTGTAATTGCTGCAACATGTTCTGTACAGGTAAAACAGCAATAGACTAACTTTTGGCAGCTTACCACATCCAAAATCACGTTTAAATGTCAACAGAAGTAGGATATCTATAGCAAATGTGTTTAGATTGTGTGGATTTCATCAAATTGTTTCCATTTTTTTTTTATTGCTGGCTAAGACATCTGTATTTCCTTTATCTGAGTGGAACATGGTAGAATTAGAAATGGTTTGTTATTACACATTATCACTGAATTTTAAATGCCCTTGTGCTCTTTTTGAATTACATCAGCCCACACAAATGGATAAAGGAGTGAAGTTTGTTTCTGTGAACAGTATGAAATTATACAAACATCACTTGTCCCATAGAGCAAGGAGGAATATGGGCACACGTGGACAGGATTTTTTCAAAACAAGTAGAGAAAAATGGTTCATGTGACAGAGGTCCTTACTTTGGAGTTACCTATGAGTATCACAGTCCATAAAACTTCTGTTGTAGTTCTAAAGTGTAGTTAGGTATCACTTTTGGAAGGAGGCTGACAATTGTAAAAGCTGTTTTGTGACTTGACACTCTACACTCTCTGCTCAAATACCCTATATTCAGCTAAACAAAATATTTAAGCTTTCAGTTATCACTTTCTGTGTGCAGCATGGAAATGTCAAACTCTCTCCTACCAAGGGTTCATTGTACATTCTAGATGTTTAACTAAGTTTCATTTGCACCTCCAGAGGAACAAAAACTTTTTATTAATGTTGTTTTTCTTTAAAGTTAATGACAGTACGATAGCTCCAAGAAGGGAGTGGGATCTGGGGCTGAGAAGATAAGTTTCGAAGTATCACTAGAGGTGGTTCTTAAATCACGTGTTTTGCCACTTACCCTTCTTGTGTGACTAAAACTAGTATAAAATTCCATATAAATAATTTCCATAGGGAAAACCTATGGATGTCATCTATCTGGATTTTTGTAAAGCCTTTGACACGGTCCCCCACAACATCCTTCTCTCTAAATTGGAGAGCCATGGATTTGATGGGTGGACCGTTCGGTGGATAAGGAATTGGTTGGATGGTCGCAGCCAAAGGGTAGTGGTCAACGGCTCAATGTCCAGATGGAGACCAGTGATGAGTGAAGTCCCTCAGGGGTCCGTACTGGGACCAGTGCTGTTCAATATATTCATCAATGACATGGACAGCGACATCGAGTGTACCCTCAGCAAGTTTGCAGATGACACCAAGCTGAGTGGTACGGTCGAGACACCAGAAGGACGGGATGCCATCCAGAGGGACCTGGACAAGCTGGAGAGGTGGGCCTGTGTGAACCTCATGAGGTTCAACACGGCCAAGTGCAAGGTCCTACACCTGGGTCGGGGTAATCCCCCCTAACAATACAGGCTGGGGGATGAAAGGATCGAGAGCAGCCCTGCTGAGAGGGACTTGGGGGTACTGATAGACAAATGGCTGGACATGAGCCGGCAATGTGCGCTGGCAGCCCAGAGGGCCAACCGTGTCCTGGGCTGCATCA